GAATTCTCTTTGGTTTCCGATGCTGGCGGTGCCACCGCCTGTCAGTGTCTGACACTGATAGTGGACTGCGCTAGACCCTTCGGTTCATAGGTTGGGCTTTAATTTCAGCCCAAACCAAGTCTAGTTTTGGGCCTAGTTGGCCCCTAACTAGGATATAGGATTATCTCTTAATCCTAATCCTAATTACATATGAACTACATAACTAAAAACATCCCAAGTAAGTTTTCAACCGCGAACGTCAAGTCTTCTTCCGATGAGCTTTTCGACGAACTTTCGCCGGACTTCCGATATGCCCTCGGATTTCTTCCGACGGACTCCTAGCAAGCTCCCGATCTTATGACAACTTCAACGAGTAGCCGAGCCTTCTCGGTGATCTCCGCGAACCTCCGACGATCTCTTCGGCGAACTTCCGAAAATTTCGATAGGTTCTCGATTTCTTCTCGGTTAGTTCTGGCAGCATCTCCGACGATTCTTCGGACTCTTAAACGTCCATCGAACTTGACTCTGGTATTCATGCTTTATGTTTTCTGGTTATCGTAGTTAATCCTGCAGACTTAACTCAATAATATGGATTAGATCAATTAACTCATCAATTGATTTTATCATCAAAATCTGAGATTCAACAATCTCCCCCTTTTTGATGATGACAATCAATTGATGACGGAGTTAAACATAACTCCATCTATCTATATGCCATATTATGAGAAGATAAAAATACTTGAATTTCATCCCATTGAATTCAAGCATAAACCGATAAGTTCTAACCGTTGAACTTATCGTTATTCTCATTAAGCAATAGTAAATACGAAACTTCGATGAAAATCATTTTCAAGTCAAATGATAAGGGACGATTTTTACTATGACAGGAGATAAAGATTTTCAACATGAATTTCATGATATAGATGTAAGGCATGCTTTCAATATGATCAATCAATCTTGCGATATTCTCAAAGATTTTGTAAGGCATATGAGATATTTGTATTATACAAGCTTTTGTAAATCATATAAGTCATGTTATTGATACACATAAGACATTTTCATTGAGTCATGCTATCGAAATGGTATAAGTCATCACTTAGTCATAATTTCTCCTCCTTTGTCATCAACAAAAAGGGAATGAGACTTGAAGCACATAATTTGTGATTATAAATTATTTACGCATAATTTGTCATTCAAAATTAAGTATGCTAAAATATTTACGCAGAGTTCATCTTAAAGGAAAATTCAGCATTTATCAAATATCTTCTTTCTATAAATAATAATAATTGTAGGTGTACAAAGAAGAGATTGTGATAAATTTTTTTTCAAGTAGTAACTCCAATAAGTCAAGATCATAATTCGAATACAAACTCATTCAAATTCAAATCGTCAACTTGAAACTCTTAATCAAGTAATCAAAATTAATTTCGAG